ATAAACAGTCACAACAATATCTAAAGTGGTACAATGGAACAAATCACATTAGCTCCAAACAGTGATGGTGGCCCAACAACTTCTCAGCTGATTCACTTGTTTATCCCAGCTGTAGCTCCCACCCAGCTTCTGGTGAAAATTAACCCTCTCCTAGCTGAACCAGGACAAACGTTACCAGAAAATGTGGGATGCACACCCTCTAGCATTGAAGAAAGGTAAAATACAGAGGCTGCTTAGATACTGTGTTGGGGAGGACACAGAAATATGGCAGGCAGAAGGCAAGCTCAATGTGAATTTGGGCCTCACAATCACACACAGACTAGGGTTATCTCTGTGAGCCAGTCAGATCCCCAAACAGACCCCAGCACTGCTCTCTCACTGGTCTTCCTACTGAAACTGGTCAGCCTGCATAATCCAAGAGAGGTTTACATCCTAACTGGGTATAGAAAGATACAACATATTGTTATTCCTGTAACCTGAAGTGGTGAAGGTTGCTCTGCTTCTTAAAAAGTGAGCAAGAAGGTTTGTTTCATAGGGTACTATCAATGCAGCATGCAGGGATAATCCACCTCCTGTTAGCTGCTTGGAGCCCTCCATGAGTCAACCTCTCTCTGCCCTAGGGCAGTATTTGACCAAACTGCAGCATATAGGGCTGCTGGAAAAGGATAAAAGGCTTAGGTATGAAAGTCCCCATGGGAGGTGACACCTCCAGTGGCTCCTGATGAGCAGCTGCTGGGCCATGATGTGCTGGAGCTTAGCCATCCTTCACTGGTTGACACCCTCACTCAGGGGCTGACAGAAGAAATTTGTATGTGCAATGCATTTATTTATGGGTTGTGAATGTAATGAAGGTGATAGTGTCCTACTAAAGCTCCTGCTCTGTGAAGATGAGCAGCAGTAAAGATGAGTTTTACTTAGGGGAAGACAGCAGGAGTAGCTTTGAAGGGACAAGGGGCCAAATGAGAAAGGACTAATCTAAGTGCAAAGAAAAGGGAGAGAAAATGTGATATAGGTGACAGCAAAACCAAACTGCAAAGGGACCAGAAGCAAAGGAAATGTGGTGCACATGAATCATGTGAAGAGACACACAGACGTGATGCAAAGGGTAAGGAAAAAACCAACCACACAAATAATCCACAGACGTAGTCAGAGTAGTGGGAGGGACAAATTATTTTAGCAGCAGCAAAGTTGAAAAATTACCTCATGATTTTACAGCCTGCATTTTCCACGACTCCTGATGTGAGCTACATCCACAGGCAGTGATGCAAAAGACCAGGTTGTGCCTTTCAGTGTCAGTGCAGCAGTTATTCTTGTGAAGAAAAGAACTGAACACTGGGTCATGTTTCCCTTTCAGGCATTTCCTTCTTTGCTGATGCAGAAGAAGCAAAGCCACCCTGCAAGGACTGTGAGTAAACTTCTTTGTAGAGAATAAGCTCCATCCAAGGGGAAACAGAGTGTAGTCCAAGCTTAGCAATGTTTAGCAGTTCAAGAGATTTCTAAAAATGAAAAAAA